GGGGGGGGGGGGGGGGCGGCTGCGCGGGGTCTTGCAAGCCGGAGCGTGAAAACCGGCACATGGCTCGTGCCTGCCTTAGACTATCCCCTACGTCATCCCCACGTAGCTCGCGATATGAGCAGTCTGAATATTGTGCGTTTCGAGGTTAATTTACGTTCTTTTGGCAACACCACGCCTGCGCCCATGTTGATTCATTAAGTCGCCGAACCAACAAGACGTGCGTAGAAGGGACGTTGGGGGGCTCAGGAGGAGGGCCCCTTCCATGTGATTCCAGCTTTCATCCGACCTAGGGGCTTCAGGACCGAGGCTAGAAATGTGGAGAGCCGCTTCCAAACAGAACATCACACGACAGCAGCAACAATAACAGCGACAACACCACCACCACTACCACTACAACCACCAGCAATAGCAACAGCAACAACAACAACAACAATAAACAAACAACACGAGAGACCAAACCTCACGTGACGCCCGTCGGGCAGCAGCCGCGGTAGCAGTTGAGGGTGAAGGGGAAGAAGGAATCGTCGAAGCCACATGACTGGACGACGGGCGCACACACGGACACGCACGCGTGGGTCGAACAACGAACAGCAAGCAAAAGAAAAAACCACAAGCAGGACGGAAAACGATCATCATCATTCGGACTCAATACGGTTGTTCGGCACGAAAGAGGCGGTTGTGCCGGCGGTTCACCAATATTGTCATCGTGCGGAGTACAACCGCGGAGTATCGCCGAACAACAACGGATAATTCCAAGGGCTGCGAGCTTCCTTCATACTCGAGATGCTCTCGCGTTTATATACTCGATTTGCGGTGGGTGAGATGCTGATCATGAAACGCGCTTAGTCGAGGATGTGCGATTAGCACATGCAGACCATTTGACACCATGGTGATAAAATGTCCCTGTTCACATAGGCATTGAAGAATTGTGGTATTGATAACCGAGGACTGACGATTACATATGCAGCTTGCGCTACCTAGCTTGTGCACGTGTGAACTATGATTTTCATAGTAGGTTTGGTACATTAAAGCCGCCCAAAGTCTTCGTAGTCTCGTCCGACTAGCCCAGCAACACAAAACAACGCCCCCGCCGTTCGTGGGAAACCCGTCTTGCTCGCACTTCAAAACACATTAATCGCGTCTACAGAAGAAGGTACATAGAATCATCACAGCGAACACGCGCTTTATCATCCATGTTGCGGTATGCGGTATACGGTAACGTACCGTGTAGTATCGGTACGTGAAGGTGTCCTCGTCGATAGTAGCCTCGTACCCGGAGCACAAGTCGAGGCAGACGGTCGCGTCCGCCCCATCTGCTCCACACATCTGTCACACACCGCGAAACATTTTCGGCACAACAGGTTCCAGTGGTTTAGGTGACCCGAGACTTTCGACCGCGCGGCTGTCTGTGATCCGCGTACATGCATCGTCATCACGCGACAGAGGGCGGTGCCACATTGATTGCTATTGACGGTTCGGCTTCAGTGGTCCAATCTTCTGTGGCCGCCAAATATGCAGCAGTTGCGACGTTTAGAGAACTAATCGCGTGCCGCATGGCCGGAGCGTTGCGCCCCCGCTTCCAGCATGGCAGGGCGGGGTGATCTAAGGGGGTTTACGTTCTTGTTCCAAGGCATCTGGAGAGACGTCGTTTGTAGATTGTTGTCGGTTTTTGGCCCCTTGTTGTCTGGAATATGAAGGAGGCCGGTCAGAAAAAACGAAAGAGAGGCCTGCCCCGTTCACTATAAGGACAGCGGGGACACGGTAGTAACGATGTTCCTCCGAAGACGCTTTACGTTGAAGGTGGTTGTAGAAAACGTGCGAAATATGTTTACAATCGCCACATGGCTCCGATAGTAGTAGGGATGTCGGCGAGATGCTAATAGGACAAGTGAACGTGGAAAAACGGCAGATCCGGTGCATTTGCGTAGGGTAGGCCACCGGATCCCGAAACGAACTGACGCGGAGATCGAGACGTTCTTTGCATAGGTTGGGCGTGGTTTTTGAAAATAGCATTATTTTCAGATGTGGGGACGTAATATCAGCAGTCACACAACCACACCCACGAACTATGCATACCTTCATCTCCACTCCACCAGGCCCTAGCTGCCCGTAGATGGGAAAGCCGTCCTGAGATGGCGTTGCGCGGAAAGGGAAGGGAACGGAAGAAAGGGTTGGTGGTTGGCTAGTGGAAAATGGCAGACGAAGAAGGAAAACACGTGAACACACACACGCCAGCCAGCTCCCGAGAGTGGTTGGTTCATAACGCGTCCATTTTCTAGTCAGGCTTGACGCATGAAAGGTCTTGCGGTAGCGCCTCCCCACCTTTTCATTTTCGCTGTTCCTCACTCTTGCTTGAGAGACTTGTTTCTCACTCTTGCTTATGAGACTTTCACCCAGCCCTCCCTGGGCCCATCAACTAACCTCTCACTAGCGTGCTGACTTTGATCGGCTTGCAGCCTTCATCGGCGAAATGTAGCGTCCGACTCAATGTCCCACAAGAAAAAAAAGAAATACAGCACTGAGGTTCCTGCTTTGTAACGGTACTATACAGGACACCGGAACTGTTCAAGGTACGTAGTAACTTGGTGCTGCAATGCAATGGGTGCCCACCGAAAACACCAGCACTACACCGACAACCGACACAAAACAGGGACCTCTACGGTAACGTACGGACGGTAGTATGGGTGCCATCTCTTGTACCCCCCGCAAGCCCCGCCGTTTCTTTCGGTTTGGAAAAAAAGAAGAAAATAAAGAACAAATCAGACTTACGTATGACCAGCCCAGCAGCGGAGAGTGCTCCCCCATGACCGCCCCTGCTTGTTCTTGTAGGCACCCCGCCGTGCTGTGGTAGTGGTAGGACCCCGTGGGAGTCGCGTGTCCCCCGCAGGGGTCCAACGTGTCGGCTTCCAGGTAGAAGGCCGTGTCCTCGTACTCTTCGACGGCGTTAACCGCCCACGCGCTTCTCGGTGTCGTCCATCATCATCATCATCATCATCATCATCATCGTTGTTAAAAAAAATACACTACAAGGAAAACACGCAACGGCTCTTGGAAGTAAGCGCGGGGGCGAGCGAGGTGATGAGAACACAACAGCTGTGTTTGCCCGAACGAACGCGGAAATGAACGGTATCCTGTACCGTGATGATAGGATGGAAATGGAGACTTGAATGTGTTCCCCTTCACTCCTCTACGACTCGCAGGGCGACACGCTTTGGTGACGTCGAGGCACGAGCGTCAGTGTGCTCTCCCAAGGAAGAAATCACTGCTGCTTCGTCTTCGATGAGGGGAAACAATGAGCTCAACCCCAAACATACAGGCGAATCACACCTCCACACGAAAAACACACCTCTCTAAGCAGAGGCACGATGATGCACGGCGCACACTCGCCCTGTGCACAGGGGATGCTGAGCGAAGCTCACGGTGGCCAGACTGCCTACCTGTACATAGAAACCCCGTTGCGCATTAGCCCGATCGTCCCGGCGGCAGAGCTCAGGTCCGTCGTCCCCCCGTCCTCGAGAAGCATGGGGTAGGCCGGGATCGATTCGTTGATGGCCGCAACCTATTGTTGGAAGGATGTGTAGACAAGTTGAGACGATTTCGTCAGACCCGTCGATATTGTCCCCAAGTGCCGCGCTAAGTGAAAGGGAAGACGAAGGCAAGCACCACCAAATGACGAAGTCATCAGGCGTGACCCCTTAGCCTTCAGCAGACACGGCAAGGCTCGGCCGCAGGGTGAACTAAAGAGGTACCTTTTTCGGGCGACGGGATAAGAACGAACGAAACACGGAAAGAACCAACGACTCAACCCAACGACACAGCGGCAACATTAACCTGACACGATGCACCAACACGACGACACCTGGCTGGCGATAACCCGACATGCCAAAAAAAAAAGCGACTCCGAGAGATACCGTACACCACGCTAGAAAAATCGAACGCAAGCCCGAAAAGAACAATGGAAGTAGAAGACAACACGCGCACGGCTCAAGTTTGCGCAGCGCACCCCGTGGTTGCTTGATCACCGGCCTTCTAAAGGCTTTTATTGAAGAAAACACGTCGTTGGACTATCCATGCAATCGTGGAAGTTGGGTTAGGGATATAGAGTCTGCGTGCCTTTTCCCTGCTTAACTTTCTCATAAACATAAATTTCTCGCGAATGCGGTCCGGTGTGATTCGATCCGATATGACGTCGCTCACCAGTCCGGGGTTGGGGTTGATGGGCCAGTTGACGTGATTCGGGCATGCCGTGTTGGTGCCTGTCCATCGCACCATCGTCAAACCTTCGCCACTGATACAGAAGACAAACACAACGCACAAAAACAGGTTTGCAAATACCGTACCACTACCAAAAAAACGATTTTGGTTTGCGACGGGAAAGGAAGACTGGGTGGAAGAAGGCATCGTGTGCAATCAACGAGCGGGTCCCACGTCGCTCCCTGCCCACGAACTTGACTATCGAGACCTCGCCTGTGCTGGCGGTGCGTTTGATGGTGATATTCTCGGAGAGAAGGTGATTAGAGTGCGGTTGGAGACATGGGGGCATTGTTGCGGATGGAGGAGGCTTCAAACACCACGTGTAGAGGGGGCAGAGAGGGCGGCGGCAACATTGTAGGGGAGGCGGACATAGTGTTTTGCCTTGTAAGCAACGCCTGCAAGCTGCAGATCGTTTTAGCACGCTCGTCTCAGTATTACGAGGCGCGTGCAAATAATTCAAGCATTAACAACCAGATGACCAAGTGATCAAACAAAACTGGGACCTGCGCAACGAAACGAGCGATTTTTTGCGCATGAAAAACGAAAACGGACGCCACAATATCAGTCGCCCTAAACGCGCCCCCGCAAAACGTAACCCATCCGATCCGCTTCTTCTCACGCTAGGAACTCGTCGTAGTGGGCGTCGCTCCCGTTGTAAGCACACTCCACAGATGCATCAGAACCATCATCATCCCCTCCAGGAACTCCGTCTCCGCCGGGAACATCCCCCCCCCCGCCGCCATCGCCGCCGCCGCCTCCTCCCGGCTGAGCACGCGAGCCTTGTGGCAATTGTGTCAGCAGCAGCAGCAGGAACAGCAGTGCCGTGCTAGCGACACCGACCCTGCCAGCGGTGGTGGTAGAGACCCGTGCCATCGTTCACCGTCTCGCGCGGCGTTTGATTTCGAGCAGGGTCCTGTTGGAATCGAATCATCAGTGTTCGGGAAATAGAGACGGACCGAGAGAGAGAGGGCGGAGCGAGCTTTGCGGGGAGGCGGTGGGGGAAAGAAAGTAATGATTTCGTGGTCAGGCCGAACGTTTCGGCAACAAGGGGACAGGTGAAGGGGTTGTTGTACAGATCGAATGATCAGGGTCCGCCAAAGAGAGAGAAGAGAGAGAGAGATTATGGGGTGGGTGGATTGGGGCAGGGGAAAGCAAATGACGATTACGTTATCAGGGTACACGACTTGACAACAAGGGGACGGGTCTTGGGGGGCCCGATGGGAACAGCTAGGATAAGCCGCCGTGTCACTGCGTGCGTCCTTCAGTGTTTGGTTGCCAGCAGCAGCACCATCACCAGGGTTGGGCTTAAGATGCGTGTGTATATGTCTTTTTTCGCTAGCTTTGGCCGCTTTGTTTGGCTGAAAAAAGGAGTGTACCAAGTAGGTCTAACGGTGGGTCTTTTTAACGGAAGTTCGAAGCTCGATACGCAGATGCTAGGACCAGAATATCAAAATAAAAATACCTCTTTGCTGACTGGAAATATTTTGCTCCGCAGATCCACTTTTCCGACTAAGTATTCTGCAGATTATCATCTGGTTACAGTCGAGGCATGATATTCAAACTTGGATGAACCGGGACCAAAGTTGGCGAATATGGGTCTCCTCGCACCACCACGCATGCCCACCAGACCCATGAACAGGAAGCGCCCCCAAGTAATAACTTGTCATCAAGAACTTGTCACCAGGAATTCCGTTGCTGAATATTTTTGTGTCAACACCAAGATCTTGGGAAATATATATTTTTTCTCCCATCATTGGACTCTGTCGTCTGCCCCTCTGGCCCCTATCCTCCACTTCTACTATAATAATAGCTAGACGACCCAACCGGGGTCACACAGGAGCGGGGGGTTGGACCCCCTCCTGCGGTTCCTACCTGAGATATTTTTATCGCGAGAAGGGTACAGCAATGCCTTCCCTCGTGACGTACAGAATGTGGTACCTCGGTTAACCCTCCCAGTACCCACGCGGTTACATAGTTACAGCTTATGGGCCCAGAAAAAATCGCGATCGCTCATTGGGAGAGGCTAGACAGTCCCGACGGCCGAAGGCTGACTTGGCTCCCGTATAGAAAGTGTCCCTTAAGGAATGATCAAGTCAGCATATTTTCCCAGCACTAGGCTACAAACAGCTTTACCAACAAGGGGACCCACCCGCAGCTTGGGAAGCTGTGTGCAGCAAGGCAGAGGCACAGGAGACGCACACAGGCATTCAAACAGCAGGGTATGAAGGGCGTACCACCTCACAAAAGCATGATAGACCAAGGTTTCCTACGCACGTTTCACGCGGCGGAGCATAGCTAGTGGCGACTACGTTGTGGGCAACAGGCCTTTTAGAGCTGTGTCCCCAAGGTGTCCCCATTTGGGCTTCCAGTAGTAACCCCCGCACTAATACCAACATAATATTGCAGCCATTGGTAGCCCACAAGGGCGACACTAAGAACCCCAGCTCAGCAGCATCAGCCAAAGCTGGAGGTTCTTAAGTGCAGGCACCATCTCTGCCGCAATCCAAACATAAATATCGCACACAGCGGACTACAGAGCAAGAGGGGAAGCGAAGACACAACAACAACAACCGGGTGACCGCGGAATCGTTGTCGCATATGACTGGGGCAGAAGACAACTACGTTGGGTGGGCATGTTGGTGGATGGGACATGCTCCCGTGCGTTGTCGAACCTCACATGCGCAAGAGGACCAAATTCATGGCTGTCGGTCCGATGAGGCTCGATTCAGAATCTGTCATGTGTGTGTGTGTTTTTTCGTCCTGTTTATTATGGCGACAGTCCTCCCATTTTTCGTGGTGGGACGTGTACTACACTTTGCAGCGTAAAATATGTAGAGTACTACACTTTTCAGTGTATTTTTTCGTACAACTACAACGATCCAGGGTCACACAGGAGGGGGTAAACACCAGGGGCTTTTTTTTCTTTATTTCTTTTCATGCCCCACCTTCCTCCTGCGGTGCGTGCTGAAGTTTATTTTTATCGCCAGAAGGGTCCAGCCGTCCCTTTCCCTCGTCAATGAACAGAGCCGGGATTTTTCGGGGCTTGCTACTTTGACGGATCCGTGTGTTTGACACAAGCATCGGACAAGCGAACCGCGGGCGCTGCAACATCACTGAGAACGTTAGAAAGACCTGCCAGATTCACGTCCAGGTCTGTTGTGGAGATGGACAAGCAGCAATAGCGGCGTTCAGTCCGTTCCTGGTCCAAACTAGACATTGCGTGGTGCTCTCGTCTTCAACTACTGCTGTTGGTGCTGTGGAATTTTTTCAATCACACATAGCAAACACGGAAGCAGTTGAACGAGTAGGGCAGCAGCACCAAGACCTCCAGCGCGCTGATTCCTTCGGTTCGACTGTCTATATGATACAATCTCCCGGCGCCGTGCTGCTTCGTGGGTATTGGATGCTTGGGTGCTGCTCAATAAGGTGTGTGAGAGACGTGTGCCACCTCACCAAAATGACGTTGGAAAAAATGCGGCGAGATGATCTATTTTTGGTCGTGCACGTCGACATCAATCCACGGCACCACGCAGCAGAAGAGCAACAGGGCCTCCGACACGCTAGTTCTTTCGGATTGGCCATCTACATGATGCTGGCCGTCAGCGCGGCTGCCGCCCTTTGATTGTTGAGCTCATCTACACTTGTAACTTTGGGTAGGTTGTGGTCAAAGATGGGAGTCGCAACCGTGAAAATGAGCAAGCAACCTGAAGAAACCGCAAGCAACACCTAGGTTGCGACACTCTGCCCCGCGCCTGTTGTTGCTGAAAACTGAAAACAGTAGGCCGGGTGGATAGGATCTTTCGCGTGTTGCCCTTTGGGTCGGGTGCTGCTCATTGCCCTTTTACCGCTGCTCTCTAGTGAGCAACACCCAGTCAACCTGTTGCGTGCCGAGCAAAGCGTGTATTCAGGGAAGGAAACGCACTTCTGCCATGACATAACGAATAGAAGAAGCGAAAAAAAGTCGGGTGGTCTTTTCACCGTTCCGTGGAACATTGCACGACTTTTCAAATGCGTCAATAACGAGCCTAAAAGGACCGACCGGGGTGTACAATAACACTGCATTATGATGCGGTCGCCCCGGTGGTCTAGTTGATATCCCCGAAACCTTCTAGACGTCACGTTAGGGGTTCGAATCCCGGCGTAAGCGAGCTTTTCTTGCAAGGTGAGTTTTTCCCTCGCTTCCGCTCCTGGCCTAGTGGATAGCGCTAGTTCGTGTGTACGCACAGGGAAGTGAGTGCTGAACTCCTCTCGTATTAAAAATCGAAGGTTAAGTACCGCAGGGGGGAGGGTAGAGAGGGGCTCTTCTGCGTGACCGCGGGTTGGAGTAAACGGTACTAGTGCTGTGAGCGCTGATTTGAAGTGAAAACAAGAAAAAAAAAAAAATTATCCCAATTCGGGCGTAAGGATTCGCCGTCGTAAGTGGCTCCGGTCCGCCCATTGAGCTGCACTTCGTATGTATTTTAATTGGTACCACAAAAGCGGTCCTACTGCTGTCCATGTGGCGAAGCAATCATCAGGGTGGCCACAACTCTTCTTGTCGATGTGTGGGATGGCCACGGTGCACGCCGAGGTACAAGCCAACGTCTTTGCCAACTTTTCAATATATGCGGTGACTAACGGTCCTCGGCAGGTTGTTCACACTCCAGTACCCAGCCATGCACATATTTCCTGCAACATGTTGAGCCAGTGACCCACGCCATCATCACCAACATCGCACTCGTTCCCATCGCTGGTCACCACTCGCCACCTGTCAACCAAGCTGCCTGCTTGCCAGCAATCGTCGACACTGATCTGCCGTATTCAGCATATTCCATACACTCACCCATGAATGTCCCCGACAGCAGCAGCAGCAGCAGCTACGTGAGTGCCGGCAGTGGGCAACCTACCTTTCGTAGGGTGCTCTACCGCACATACGTGTGCCGTGTGGTGTCAATCACCTATCGGAATCGTCTCACCTGTGTGCCGCAACGTGGGAGAAGGCCTGCTGTGCTGATGTGTTCCAGATCGCACCACCCGGAGTTATGACACCGGGAGGTGGGGGGAGGGGGGGGGAGGGGTGGCTAGTGTTAGCAGTGTGTTTGAAGAACAAGGCGATACTTGAATGTATTTTCACGGGGTAATCTGCGGCCGGTGGTGTTCCCATCGCTCGGGAGAATGGCTTGTGAAACCGTGCTCCCTGGCCCAACACAACCAAGGGGAGCCAGTGAGGGTAGCTGGCGAACAACGGGCCGTTCGGGTTGTAGCACCTGTGCTTCAACTATTTAATTCAAGAAGTCAGGACGCACGGAAATTTCGGTGTTCGTTGTTGCAAATTTCTGAAATGAAAACAACCAGAAATTTGGAGGTCGTTCGGTAGTCAGCCTCAGCCAGGTCGGTTATCCCTTGAGGCCGCCCAGTCAATTCGGTGAATTGCGAAATGTCTGGAAAGATTAACCCCAAAAAATAAGATAGGTCAGCGGGTCGGAATGATGCGGACAGCAACAACGCCGTCGCTTGCCTATTTTAGTCATTTATTGAATAACCGCCGGAGACGAGGGTTCCTCGACCCGCACAACAATCGGTACGCATACTTCGCAAACGGCAGACCTTTCGGGTTATTGTGCCGTGGGTTGGTTGCAGGTACATTCCTGGCTACCCCTATGTGTACAACGCACTTGCCAATAACAACCTGCACGACTCAAACGCCTCCAGAACCACACAATCAGCAATCCATTTTCAAACTCAATACAGCAGCGAAACACCAAAGGAGTAGTACACGACCACCGCCGACAGGCCGCACAGCACGCGCAACGCAGCAGACAACACTGCAGACATGTCCCTGAAAAACGGTACGTGACGACGAGCATTCAATTGTCGCCGTAGAGGTAGAGGGCGGCGACGCGTGCATGCAATCAAGCCCAGCCGAAGAACAACGGCAGGAGGGGCAGGAGGAGGAGCAGCAACAGCAGCAGCAGCAGCAGCAGCAGCAGCAGCAGCAGCAGGGAGAAGGAGGAGAGACCGCAGGAGGAGAAGGCGCTCCCGAAGAAACTTTGAGATCTTATTTTGATCATTGCTCATCAACGTAAACGTTCAGACAGCAGGATATTTGTTTTGACAGGAGGATTTACATAGATAAACAAAGATGAGAGCGCCAACGTTTTTTTATGAGGAGTGGCCAACATCGGGTATACCCGGCCCCGATTCGGCAACGCCCTCGTGGCGCCATCTGATTGGCCGACGCCCGCCCCTACCCGGCCCTGACCCTATTC